TCCGGGGTGGGTGCGGGGGCGCAGGGGCAGCGTCTCACGTCGTCCCCGGTGGCCGCGGGGGCTGGAAATGCAGGGAACTGTGAGTGCGGCGGGACGTTGCCCATGTGAGGAGGCGAACTTTAGGGCGTCTGTGGTTGGGGTGAAGGGTCGGGGCGGAGAGGTGAAGGATGTGAGGGGTCTGGGATACTGTGAGGAGGCCTGGCACACACTGGCCTTGACACACACCTTCTTGGTCCTGAGCCCCTGAAATAAGTGTGCTGTGTTTGCATAAGCATTTCATTGAGGTAAAAGCGTCAGACTAATTTGGAGGACGGGGTTGGGGGGAGGTGACCTCCTCTGAGGCAACTCTGACCTTTCTGTGCCTTCTTTTAATTCTAAATTTCCTGCTCTTTTCTTCTTAGGGTATGTATTTTTACTTGTTGAAATGAATGTGAAACTAGCTTCTCGAGTTACACTTTTGTTACTTGAAGTAATGCTGATAGTATTTAAGTAGTTACATATTATTCCTTTGAATACTTGTAACACAATCTACCTCACACTCTCCTTTGCTGGATCTTAATATAGCCAAATACTTGCAAATTTACATAGCTTTTCAATTTTTAATTAATATTTCCTTGATTTCTATGGCTATTGAACATTTTTCCCATATCTATTGGTCAATTACAGTGACCGCTCTAAGAAATATCTATCCTCTATTATCTCTTGAGTCCTAGTGTTTTTCTCAGTGGTTTTATGGGTTCTTTACGCAGTAAGAATATTAACACTTTACTGATATTCAATTCAGCATTTTCTCCAGTTTATGGTTTACATTTTCATTTTCTTTATTATTTTCCATGTTAAGAATTTAAGTACTTTTATTTAATATATCACAAAATTGTTTGTAACGATTTACCATGAATCTTAACTCTATCATTTAGTGGTATTATAAATATGTTTTCCCCAAGTTTCTCCTTCTTTCTTTTCAAATAATTGTATTTATTGAAGGTCTGCTGGGGTCAGGGATTGTCCCAGGCATTAAACACACATATTGATGAGTCCCAGACCCAGTCTTGCCCTCAAATATTAGTTTAGAAAGAGGGGCAGTTCTAAAATAACAATTCTATTTATAGAAATTTTTGTTTTCCAAAAGAGCAGGGTTGGTCACCCAAGTGAAAATATAAGAACTTTTGACATGAACAGTCATTCATTGCTGCTATCCCTGTCCTTCAGGTCATATGCTTTTCTTCAGACTCAGCTCACAGCATTAGAGAATCATCTCTATCTGTTCCTGCTTCTCAGGGTAGAGCCATTTCTGTGGCGTTCTATGCTGTGAGTGCATCGAGATGACATTCCTAAGATCTATTCATATTTCTTTGAATCATATTTGCTCTCAGAGTGAACAAGAATAAATAGTTAACATATATTGAAGGCTAAGTTCTAGTCATTGCTTTACATATTTTAGCACTTAACTGTAATAGATAAATTAATATCATTATCTGCCTTTGTAAGTGAGAAAGCTGAAGTAGATGGAAATTTAAAAATCTCTCTCAGGATCAGCCAGTAAGAGGCACAGGCTGGATTTGAACACAGGCATCCTGGCTCCAGAAATCACACTTTTAATGAATACCCTAGATGCCTTGCAAAGGTTTGCAAACACTTCAGTTAAACAATGAAAAACTATTTTGAGCTATGAAAAAAAAAAATGCAGTTTTCTCCAACATTCTCAAATCTAATGGGCCCCTGCTGTAAGGGTTAAATTCAAGGCTCATGACATTATTAGGCTACATGGCCAGCTTTGAGGGAGGCAGGCCTGAAACTTGAGCCTAGGTTTGGAGAAAGAAAGAAAGGCAGCCAGCCAAGGAGACTACTCTGCCTTCCTCACTGTTCTCTCCGTTTTTTCTCTCCTAGTTGAGCCTACAGTGACTGTGTATCCTATGAAGACCCAGCCATTGCAGCATCACAACCTCCTGGTCTGCTCTGTGGATGGTTTCTATCCAGGCAACATTGAAGTCAGGTGGTTCCGGAATGGCCAGAAAGAGGAAACTGGGGTGGTCTCCACAGGCCTGATTCAGAATGGAGACTGGACCTTCCAGACCCTGGTGATGCTTGAAACGGTTCCTCAGAGTGGAGAGGTTTACACCTGCCAAGTGACGCACACGAGCCGGATGAGCCCTATCACGGTGGAATGGAGTGAGAAGCTTTGTGACCTCATAAATTTCTCACCCACCAGGAAGGGGGGTTTGCTGATTCCTAGTGTCAGTTTCTCCTCTCCCCTCACCATATTTTTGTTTGCTGTATTGTTTCTTCTCCTTCAGCACAGGTCACTGGGGGTAGCCCTGTGAACAGCTACTCCAAATACTTATACCCCCGAAGAAGCAATTACACTTGACAGGCAGAAAAGAGGCTGTGAACCTTCCCATGATACTATAGGTCACGGTCCCCAGGTGGCCCTGGGTTCCAGACCCTGTCTCTGGGGCTGGGCTTGCATTTCTGATGCTGCTGCTCTGAGCTGTTCATTGTGATCTGAGAAGACGAGCAATGTTGGGGCCTGACATGAGGGAGTTCAATCTCAGCTCTGCCTTTTATTAGCTCTGTTATCGTAGACAAGCTATACTTAACCTCACTGAGTTCCAGACTCGTCATAAATCAGATGTCATTTCAGGGCTGTGATATTTAATTGAGTTCAGTGCGTGAACCTTGTAGATACTCAGTGTGAAGTTTTAAAATCTCTTTTCCAGAAAAGACCAATTATTCTAGCTCTTCTAGTTCAGGTTTCTTCCCCCCCTCACAAATCACTGAATCTCAGGGTCTCAAATAGAGAAGTTAGACTTGGGATAAAAATCACTAAACTTGGCTTCTTCTCCCAGGGGCACAGTCTGAATCTGCACAGAGCAGGATGCTGAGTGGAATTGGGGGCTTTGTGCTGGGCCTACTGTTCCTTGGGGTGGGGCTATTCATCTACTTCAGGAATCAGAAAGGTAAGGAACCTGTTGGTAACTGAGACGACCCATAGACTTTACTGCAGGAAAAAACATGGCTTTGCTCAAGTTAGTCATCTGTGTAGCTATGGCCCTGTATAAAGCCTTTCTTTTCCCATTTGACCTCAGATTTCTTGGAAATCCAGAAATCAACAATCCATGGTTACTATGTCAAAGCATAAGGGGTTATGACTTACAGAGGCAAGAGAAGGTTAACAAGCATAGAGATCTTGGGTAGAGAACCTGCGGCAAATGAAGGAAGAGCCACTGAGGCTATTGAAATTACGCTGGATTTGTGTGACAGAAGCTTTGTAGGTTACACACTCTCACTTTCTGCTGTCCTCTCTCCCCCAGCTAATGTGGGTTGTGGACTTAGAGAAATCTAGGTGGAAGGTTTGGTGCTGGGGACTTTGTATGTGGGGATAGATTTGCCTCCATATTTTTTAAAAGTATATATCTTCCCTTTTCTATCCCAGGACATTCTGGACTTCAGCCAACAGGTAATGCCCTTTAATCCTCTTTTAGAGATAGATTTGGTTTCCCTAGAATAGATGGTAGAGGTGACAATACCTGAAAAAGAAATAGTAGGAAAGGTGTTGAATTCAAATTTCTGATCAGGCGATTTATAATAAAGCTGCTTCTCTCCACTTAATAAAAGGCCTGTGCTCTAAAGAAGCATTGTCTCAAGGAGACGTAAGAATTTTTTTTTCTTTTTACTGTAATGCTATCACATAAGGTCCAAGAGAGGAAGAAATAAGCTGTTTGTCGAGTTAGGTCTGGAAACAACATTCTCCCCTGTCTTCTGCAGGACTCCTGAGCTGAAGTGACGACAACACCTGAGGAGAAACTTTCTGTCCCAGCTTCTTTGCAGCATGAAAAGGTTTCCTGCTTGGCTCTTATGCTCACACAAAGAGAGTCTTTCTCAGGAACTGGTTCACTCCTGGTTCGGTGACCCTACAAAAAATGTCCTCACTGGTGGCCTTCCTCAGCCTCTGCCCTTGGCCTAGAATTCCCAGTGTTGACTGCAGTAGCTGATCTTCATTCTTTCCCAGTCCCCTTTGTATTCAACCCTTAACTGCCCCCTGTGCCTCTGAACTCATCTTTTGCGCACATTACTTTATTAAATTTTTCTCGAATAAATATGGAGTGACAATCATCTGCTTCATATAGTTTCAAGAATAAGAAGTAGAAAGAAAAGATTGAGGGAAGATTACATCACAATACAACAATGGTTTTCATTTATATTCCTGAATTTTGGTCAGATGTGAACCTGGAAGTTTTCCTTGCCTTGTTCCTTGATTCTTCCTGGGTTTTCTGCTTTCTGTAATTAGGCGTATTTAGCTGAGCTAGGAGAAAGCACGTGCTGAACCCTGATCGTGGTGGACTCCTACATCCATGCATTCTCCAAGACAAAAACACAGGTCCCATCACACCATAGGGTACAGGAAGGGGACAACAAATATAAGAAATTCAGGTAACTTGTAAAGTATATACCCTCAAAATTTTTATAATCATGTTCTTAGGACTCTTCCACTTTGATTTCAAAATGAAGTAACTAAACCTGAGTACGTCTTAAACTTAGGTTAACGATGAGCTTCAACACTTCAATCTTTTTCTGTCTTTCATATAAAAATGAGTAGCATGCTGACTCTTTGGCTTGGGATGCATTCCTCCCCTTACGTCGTCTCACAAGGTCTTCACGGCAAAGCCACAACTCTAAAGGAAAATATGTATTTCTGAGTCCCTCCAGATTATGTGACATACTTCTGTGTGACATAGGAGAATGCCTAGTAGATCTTACCTTAGGAGAAATCAGAAACAATGCTTGGAAACAAAGGGGAATGTATGAAGAGAAATCAGAAACAATGCTTGGAAACAAAGGGGAATGTATGAATAAACTGATATACATCCAAATAATTTAATACTCTGCAGCTGGAAGAAAAAAATGAGAAAGACTCGGTAACCTGCTATGGAATAATCTCCAAAATATGTTTGGAATAAGGCACAGGATTGTACCCAAGGTTGGTTATGAAGGATTAGACACAGAGATAGTGTGTTGACAACAGAAATCCCAGGCTTTGTGGATTCCCAGATGTTCACTAGAAACCACTATTTAATAACTAAGGGAGGAACATGAGGACTTTTAGAAGAAATTAGTTTCTTTCCTTTTGGAGGTGGCACCCAAAGGGATCAGTCCTCCTACCTGTCTGGGTGTTGGTTTTTTTCTTTTGGGTGAGACACTTTGGAGAAAAAAGAGCAAATGAAATTTACTATTGGGAATCCCCAACCCTTCTCAGATTTACTTGTTTTTTCTGTAACCAATTGGGATAAAGAGTGAGACGGCATCACTTATTTCCAGCAGATATATCTTTATGATAAAGTCTTAAAGAGAAATCAAGGGAGGACCAGATGACTAAGTTAGATGTTGATAAGAAAGGTTGAAAATTTCCTTTAGTGGAATGAATTAGGACATGGTTAGATGGTTAGTGAAGGATGAGTATTTTCAGAGTAAGGCAAGATGTAGAGTGAGGTTTGGAGCAGCCAAGCATCTAAAGTGAAAGAGACGTGTTGCCTGCATTTTCATGTCTGTATGGGAAATCTCTGCTAATATTAAAAGCATACATAAAAAGCTATGATGCTGATGTCTCACTGCTATTCCTGTTATAGAAGAACTGGGAACTGTGAGAAAGATCTATCCCAACTCTGTTTGCCATGGGCTTATTATGCACAGATAAACGAAGGGAAAATCAAATAATGAATTATTGTTTATTTCCTACCAGGCACTGAATTATGCACTTCCAGATACTTTCTTTTATTTAATTCTTATCATAGCCTTGCAGTAGGTGTATTATATCACAGTATGTTCGCAGTTAAATCCTGCACATTAAAATATGCTGATCACCTAATACTCAATAAATATTGATTACGGTGGTCTGTTCAGGAAAGCAAATATTTTGCATTTTCAACACTATATAGTGAAATAGAACACACGTACAGAAAAACACATAAAGCATAAATGTACAACTTAGTTGATCATTATAATGCCAACATCCGTGGAACCGCCACCCAGATCAAGAAATAGCACACTGGGCCTGGAACCCAGAGGCCCCAACGTGACTTTTCCCGTCTACACTGCTCTCCCTTCCCACCAACATAACTCACCATCCAGACTTTCACAGCAATCACGTCTTTGCTTCAGTATACCTTCAAAACCTGATATGTATCCCTAAACGTGCTTAGTGACAATATATAAACTGAATCTTACAGTATGTTCTCTTTTGTGCCTGTTTTGTGATCTAATTATTTTCAATCAAGCAGCCAGGAAATAATGGGCTTGCCAATAAATACTGCTGGATCGACTGAATACACTTATCAAAAAAAAAAAAAATGAAATTTGACACATCTCACATCATACACATATTAATTACATTAGAATTGTATATCGATATGTAAAAAGCAATAAAAACTTCCAGAAGATAATATTAGTGAATATCTTTAGGACCTTGAGATAGAAAACGATTTTAAGAATCAGATCTAAAATTCGGAAAAAGAAAAGATTATCAGTAGTCACAAATATACTTAAATAGAGACAGTGCTGTGGTTTGAGTGTGTTCCATGAATTCGTGTGTTGGAAATTTGGTGCCTGCTGTGGCGGTGTTGGAGGGAGAGCCTTTAAGAAGCAATTAGGTTGTTAAGAGGGATTAATTCCACTCGCAGGACTGGGATAATTCTCTCGAGAATGAGTTCTTGCTCTCCCAGGACTGAATTAGTTACTGCGAGGGTAGGTTGTTATAAACTGAGGCCGCCCACCACGTATTGCCCCTTTTGCATGTGCCTGCTTCCCCTTCCACTTCTCCACCATGTTATGACGCAGCATGAGGCATGAGAGGAGATATAAGGTACATGCACCGTATTTTCTTTATTCATTCATCCATTGATTGACACGGGTTAATTTCATAACATGGCTATTGTAAATAATGCTGAAATGAAAATGTGAGATCAGATATATAAATAATGTGAGTTCAGATATCTCTTTGACACTGATTTCAAGTCCTTAGGATATAAACCCTGTAGTGGGATGGCTGGATTACAGGATAGTTCTATTTTTAGCTTTTTGAGGGCCCTCCGTACAGTTTTACATAATGACTGTACCAATTTACATTCCCATCAACAGAGTACAAGGGTTCCCTTTTCTCCACATCCTCACCAACACTTATCTTTCATCTTTTGGGTGATAGCCATTCTGTGAGGTGATATCTCATCAGAGTTTTAATTTGCATTTCTCTAATGATTAGTAATGTTGAACATTTTTTCATATATCTGCTGACTCTTTGTATGTCTACTTTTGAGAAATGTCTATTCAGCTCATTTGCCCACTTTTAAATCAGGTTGTTTTTTATACTACTGAGTTTTTTACGGTCCTTATATATTTTGGATATTAACCCTTATCAAATGTATTGCTTGCAAACATTTTTTCCCTGTAGTGACGTTGTCTCTTCACTCTGTTGTTCCCTTTGTTGTACAGAAGCTTTTATTGGATATAGTCCCATTTGTGTATCTCTGCTTTAGTTGCCTGGTCTTTTGTGGTCAAATCCAAAAAGAATCATTGCCCAGACCAATGTTTTATACTTTCCCTCTAAGTTTTTCTCTAGTATTTTTATAGTTTTAGGTCTTACATTTAAGTTTTTTTTTTTTTTTTTGGCTTTTTGTCTTTTTGTCTTTTTTACTGACCGGTAACAGGATCGCAACCCTTGGTGTCAC